GCATAATGCCAGAAACAGCCCCCAGCAGTTATCGGTGAAGGAGGTCCTACTTTTCTCTACATTGATTAGGGTACACTTATGGGGACGCTGGACAGATTGCAGCATATTAGAAGACTGAAGTCAGGATTCTACACTGATCGTAACTACAGACTAACTCATGAAGAGTCTTTGAAGAACATGGAATACGTAACCTAAAGAAAAAAGTCCTAGGGAATAGTTTATGACCTCACTATTTGGAAGGTTTCCATTGGAATAGGTATTAGATTTATTCTTTGTTGCTTCATAGGATACGTGAATTCTGGGGAAGTTAAAAGGAGGCATACTCTGACTCAACATAGGAGAAGACACTTCCTAAGAGAGGCGCCTGAAAGTAGAAAAGACCTTGAATCATAACTGAGCTTTCTATGTGTGGGAAACAATCTGGGTTGTTTAGAGAGGTAGAGGTGAGAAAGATAGGGGAAGTTAAGTCCATTTCCCTTTTCCCCAATACATTAATGTTTCTTTCTATAATAGAAAGGAAGGCAAATTCCCATATAACCATGTGAATGAGTCCTAGTCTACTGGTTTCTTTCCTTAGAGCTGGGCTTGGGAGGATGTTGACTTCTTTGTGCCTCATCAGGAATATCATAGAGAATTGACCTATTCTCTCTCGTGTAAGAAAAAAATAATTGCATCTACTTTTTAGAACACAGAACATGTAGGGAACCAGTAAAGAAATGTTTGGTGTTTTTGTTTTTGTTTTTTTTCTTTTTTAAAATGTAGTCTTTATATTTGGGCCTAAGAAACTTTGACACAAGGGAATACAGAAAGGAAAAATTACTAATGAACTAAACTTTCCTAGTAAGGTCAAATAACATTTGAGTAAGGCTAAGAAAGCTATGAAACTATTTGATGTGTTTGTTTCCTTAAAGTATTTTTAAATAAGTAGACCTAATATTATTTAGTTTGGATTACAAGTATAAATCAAAACAAAAAGTTAGCTTTGTGGATAAATGTTGTAAACATGAGTTATTCAAAGAAATTTAAAATATAATTATGCTTCATGTTTCTGTGAAGATGGTATTTTTAAAAAATGATCAACTTGCTGGGTATATACAATTTCCAGTGTAAGCTATGCTAGCTTTTGGTAGTAGAATGACGGGCTACCTAGCTAAGTGGATTTGCTTTTGTGAGTGTATTCATATATATGTATATACACATGGCACATATACAGACATATATAATATGTAATGTGTGGGAGAGAGAGAACACATTCTCATGCAAGAAGGAAGTAATTTTATCTGCTTTTGTTAAAAGAACATGTAGAGGAACTTCTCATCCACCCCACTCTGCTCCTTAGTTTATTGTTTACATCCTTCTTTAAAGGTGGGAAGTTGAAGTTCACTGGTTAAACTGTTTTTCAATATGTTTTCATTTCTTAGGTAGAGAAGATTATCTGTAACTTGAAACCAGCTTTAAAACTCCGTCTTCGATTCATCACACACATTAGCAAGATGGAGCCAGCTGCGGTGCCTCCACAAGCAGTAAGCAGTGGGTCTCCAGCGTCTCAGGCTAATCAGGTGCCAGTGTCTTTACCTGTAACTCAGTGAAGCCAGAGTATACCATGGAGAAAATGGAAATACATCTATCTTTGAAAGCGGACTCCAGTCTATTAAATCTGAATGTGATCATGCTACAGCAATGTAGCAGAAGGAGCAAGGATGTTCAGATTGTTTTAGTTTGATTCAAGTGGTGAATCTGTTGACACTTTATGACTCCCATCTCCCTATCTATAATATTGTCTCGAAGACATCAAGTGAGCTACATGTCATTCATATTCATAACAATTTATTAGAGCTACCTAGGAACGTAACTTTTATTAGGCACTTTTAATCTTTCCTATTCTACTCGTTGTTTTTGTTTGTATTTTTTATTAATCACATATGCAGTTGTCAAATGTGTCATTTTAAGGGAACTACACATATAAAACAGTTATTACAAATCCTTTGATACATGAGCCTCCTTTGGTATATCTTCAGAATAATAGAGATTTTTATTAAGTAAAGGACTCTAGATTTTGTTGCGTTGTAGGAGCCAACAAGGTTTCATATTCTTTTAAATATGGCTTGAAATTTTATTATAAATTTTCAATGTTTCTATCAAGATCAATTGGCCATTTTTTGCCTTTGCTATGGACTTGAACTTACTATATGAAATGAGTTAGAGGCCACGTAAGAAAATAACATATCTGAAAATGTATAAACTTAAAATCATGCTTTAATTGTTGATTCTCCAATCTGTTATTAAAAATGAATTAATTGCTTTCACAGGTTGACACTCTCACCTGACAGATGATGTAATTCTTTGAATTTTTATAATCTTAATATTTTTAAATATTTATATTTCTAAATATAGTTTACATTTTGGCTGTGGGGTTTATTGTTAATTTTGGGGGGAAATGGCATTGTGAAAGACTTGAAACTAATTAGTAAATTCTGTTGAATGAATACACTATATGACTCTTTCTTGACTCAATTTGCACATCTGCTGTGTGCCTGGCAGTGTGCCAGCTGGGTTTCAGCAAGGGAATGGGCTATTCCATGGGTCCTACACTACAGTTGGTGACTGACATTGGCTTAGGAATTAAGAGTTAATGATTTTTTAGAAAAAGAATTAGTGAATTTAACCAACTATACTTCAGACTCATATATTTCCAAATACATTCTTACTAGAGCTTTATTTTCCTTGTGGTTCATGTTATTGCAATAATTATTGGCTATGCAAGTCCAGCTAAAAAATAATGGTAAAAATAATTTTTCCAGCTTAATTATACAATTCCTCAGAAATACTATGCTAACAATGATTTTAAGTATTATTAACATAGTCTCAATATATTGTTGCTGCCTGAAGGAATATATTATTTTGAGATCCTGGAATTGGATTATTGTGACACTGGTATTATACAAACAGAACAGAAGGAGTGGAATTCAATATCCATGTCCCAAGTACATGACATTCCAATTTATTAAAAATTCATTTTTCCCTCTCTACCTTTGTAAAACAGGAATATGATTTTCCCTGTATACGCTTTTAAATAGAGAACAGAAATTTATTTGGGTTTAGGATACAGCTGAGGAGAAAAAAATGCCCTTGTATTTATCACATCCTAAAAGTTTTTCTTTTTGAAAATTACTAGTAACTTTAGAGTGGCTCTATCCAGTAAGACTTTCTGCAATGAAGGAAATATTCTATACCTGTGCTATCCAATACAGTAGTGAGTAGCAACATGTGGCTATTGAGCATTTGAACTGTGAAACTGAACTTTTAATTTTATTAAGGGTTAATATAAGTGACCACATGCGGTTAATAATGTATTAGACTGTACACAATGTACTCTTGCATAAGATCCATTGTAATTGCACCTACCTAAAAGTGATTCAATAAAACGTTTATCTTTGAAAGGCCTAGCAGTTAGATACAACAGATAAGTTTAAAGTTCTGAGTTGCATGTGAAAAGTCACATTGTAGGGGCTCTTTAACATATAGCTGTTAAAACACCACCACGATAAAAATCCTTTCATGGAGTCTACTTTATTACAGAGTCCCCTTGTGTTTTTATATAAGTTGGGGGCAGAGGGGAAAGTTTATTTCCCTTGTTTTGATTGCAGTTTACTCTCATTTGTTTGTTCGGCTTTCCTCACTACATTCCAGAGCCCAGGTGAGTGTTAGAATGTAGCTTATGAGACATGCTATAATTGCAATGAGTGAAGGCTGAAGTATCTGAAAGCCATAGATAATTTTAGGTGAAATCCTCATCTGAATTAGTAGGTCCTATACACAAAATAGCAGTTTGATTTCTCTAGCTCCTGAATAGCTTTTTGGGAATATCTTCTACCTCCCAAAAGGCTACCTGAATAGCAACCATGCTTAAAATATCAACCAATATTATGTTTGAGGTTTAGAAAAAGTAAAACATAGACATCTAACACTAATGAACTTGGAAATTTCCCAAACCTATGATTACCTATTTTGCAGTTGAAGAAATGAGAGCCTGGGAGTTTAACACATTTATCTCCTATATGAGTTGAATTTAACTCACACTAGTTTTGATCCTGGGGCCTCATCAAGCATATGTAACTCACACATCTCTTCTCACTTTGGGAGCTGTGTAAACTATTTTTCAAGTTGCATATAACTCAAACATAGAAAAAAATTTTTTTCATTAAATTAGGATTGTTTTGTTTTTAAAGTTTTTATTCTATTTTCGTAATAAAACACCATGGCCCCAAGGAAAAACAATTTTTCTAGTGTGGCTGTCAACACGTTAACTTCACTAAGGCCTTACAATGTTTTGGGGATGATGATTTCATTGTGACTTATTTTTAATTTTTTTTTAAATAACGTCTCACTTTGTCATCCTGGCTAAAGTGCAGTAGCATCATCATAGCTTACTGCAACCTCTAACTCCTGGGCTAAAGCAATCCTCCTGCCCCAGCCTCCTGAGTAGCTGGGACTACAGGCATGTGCCTCCATGCCTGGCTAAATTTTCTATTTTTATAGAGACAGGGTCTTGTAAAATGGGTAATCATAGGTTTGGGAAATCTCCAAGTTCATTAGTGTTAGATGTCCATGTTTTACTTTTTCTAAACCTCAAACATAATATTGGTTAATATTTTAAGTTAGGGTTGCTATTCAGGTAACCTTTTGGGAGGTAGAAGATATTCCCAAAAATCTATTCAGGAGCCAGAGAAATCAAACCGATATTTTGTGTGTAAGAACTACTAATTCAGATGAGGACTTCACCTAAAATTATCTGTGGCTTCCTGGCTGGTTGCAAACTCCTGGCCTCAAGCAATCCTCCTACATCAGCCTCCCAAACTGCCAGGATTATAGGCATAAGCCTCCATGCCCAGCCTTCACTGTGACTTTTTAAATCTTTATAGTAATTTTAAGCAGGATGTATATATGAACATGATATGTGTGTGTGTATTGCACATATTTAGAAATATAGAGATATAATCTTATAAAGAGTTTATTATAAAAATCACATATTTTTAACAACATGGACACCCAGTACCTTTGCAGATGGGGTAGCTCTCTCTTCTGATACCAGGAGTCCCACTCTATGTATGGGGGCTTATCTAAGTGTATATTCATTTTTAATGCCACTAAACTTTTAATTGGAAATTAATATATGCTTCTATTTCTAAGGATAAGTCTTTTGCCAAAATGGAAAATATTAATATAAGCTTTTTAATTTCACAAGTTAGAATTTTCAAATCTTGAATTTCAAACCAAGAGGGAAGTAGAGTTAATACTAATAGGAGAAACATTTTTCTGAAAGAGCAAATCTCTGGGAGGATAACTGTAGGCTTAAGTAAATTATTAGATTTACTAATTATGTCATTAGCTATGAGATTTTTATATAATGTTTCCACATTTATTTAGGTGGGTTAAGGTAGTCAACAGGCTTGTGATTACCCTCTCGAGCAACTCCAAAACAAGCCAAGGTTATTGCCACTGCTGTGTTCACTGTTCGAGTTGTTTCTTCTGGTGTCTTCCCCAGAGATGGGTTCACTTCCATTATATCTAATCCTGAGAGTAGCCCTAGAGCAACAAATGATAACAATGTAATTTATAAAACAATTGACATTTTAAAATCAGTACTGACTCACATGAAAGATTGTCCATGAACATAAAGAGGTGGTGACCAATGAAAAACACTTTTATTTATTGCATCATGTGGTTGATGGTTGATGGGCATTCAATTGGGGTTTGGTTTTCAGGTCAAGAAGATATAAATATATATTGGTCATGTATACACTATTCCCTGAGATTTTTACCTACCCGTTTTGTAAATTTCTTCTGTGATATAGAGACCTTCTCTGTAAGACAGACCTCCCATGACTGGAGTGCCAGTAGCTGGTGTGAGAGATGGGTCCAGTCCATCAACATCAAAACTCAGATGAATTGGCCTTTTCTTTCTTAAAGGGAAAGGATATGGCAGCAGATTAAAAAAACTGCCAGAATGTCTCTGCAAGAAAGACAGATTTTAGAAGAAAGTGAAAAAAACTAAACCAGCAGACAAACATAGATCAGACAAGAGTCGGAAGGAAGGGTGCCTGAAACTACAGGAGACTCCATGGGGAGAAGTTGCAGAGGAGAACTAGGCAGGAAAGGCCCCTGACAGGCTTGGAGACCAATGACAAGGGTAAGTGGAGCAGGTAAATTTCCCCTCCCTTGCATCTCAGACTGCTGGTGGGCTCCTGGGCGGTTGGGAGACCTGCCAACATCAGCCCCCCCCAGAGACAGCTGTCGCCACTGAGCTCTGAGTGTCTTGTGGACAAGGCACCAGGCTCCCAGCTCCCTCTGGGCACCTCCCAGCCTGCAGACCTGAGCCAATTAGCAGGTGCCATATTGCTTCATTCTCCCCTTCCACTCCCCTACCTGAGGCTGCCAATAGAGACAATTTAGCCACCACCCAGAGGCATCTGCAGGGAATGGAACCTTTCCTTTTGGGGCCCTACAGTGGGCTAAGGGGTACTCAGACTGTGAGTTCCCTACCCACCACCCTCCCAGGTGCTGCTTGCCTGGACTCCAGGGGAGGAAAGCAAATCCGAAGGTGGAGAGACAGTGATCCACCTTGGGCACTTCATGGGTGACTTGAGACCAGCACTCCTCTCCCTGGCAAGGTCAGGAATTGATCTCCAGGGCCCAGGGGACAGGCCTGCAGACCAGATCCCGTACACCCAGGTCTCAATTGCATTGCCCCAGGGCACAGAAGGGATATTTGGGAACCAGCCTACTGAGGTGTGTGTGCCTTCAGGGGCAGATCAGCATGCTTCAGGGGCAACACTCCTCCCACGGGAAGACCATGGGCCCAGCCCAGACTGCAATCCTGAGCAGGGAACCTCCGGCCCACATCACAGCCAGGGGAAATCCACTGGCTTGAGGTCTTGCCTGTTGGCAGAGGCCTGGGAGAAACTGCAGAATAGGGGAGGGTGGAAAGGATCAAGGCCTGCTCCAGACTGCAGGTCTCAGACAGCCCCACCCCCACATGCAAACTTTTTGGCTGAGTAAGGCCATTTCGGCCCCTCCTTGGCAGATTTGCCCAGAAGCAGAGACCAGATCTTTGAATCCTGCTAACATCATTTGTGGAGCTTAAGGGCAGGCTCACCCAACCCAGCTCCACCCAGACTCAACTCCCAGACCTCCCTCCACTGAGGTGGAGAATAAGGACAAAGCTAGAAGACGGAGTCCCACACACCACCTGAGGCACTAGAGTGCCTCTCCAGAGGAACAAGAGCTGGTTATAGGACCCCAAAACAACACTGCAGCCTGTTCCTCCCAGCAAGTTCCACCTACTGACAGAGAGGTCATTCTGCACATGCTTTTACTACATCTACTGATTCATCATAAAGAGTGTGCTGGAATCTAACCCACAAACACCACCTACTGGCTCAGAAACAAAACAGGGTATGTCATTATCCAAATGAAAATCTAAAGGTAAGAACCAATAGCTGATCCAGTTGGGAAGGAATCAGTGAAAGAACTCTGGAAGTATGAAGAGTCAAATGGAAAGCATATCCCCAAAGGGGAATGCCAGCTCTCTAGCAATGGAAATCAACCAAATTCAGAACACTAAAATGACAAGAAGAATTTCAAATGTGGATTATAAGAAAACTCAACTATGCAAGAAAAAAATGGATAACCAACACAAAGAAACCACAAAAAAAATCCAGGACATGGAAGAAAAGTTCACTAAAGAAATTGAAATATTAACAATCAAACAAAAATTCTGGAAACGAAGAATTTATTCAAGGAATTACAAAACACAGTGGAAAGCCTCAAGAACAGGGTAGATCAAACAGAAGAAATAATTTCAGGGATTGAAGATATCACCTTTCAAGGCCTACAAGAAGGGTGGGATTATGTGAAGAAGCCTAACATAAGAATCATAGACATCTCTGAGAGTGAAGAAGAAAATACACAAGAGTTGGATAAGCTATTTGAGGATACAATAGAGGAAAATTTCTCAGGCCTTGCTAAAAAATCTAGATATCCAACTACAAGAAGCTCAAAGGACTCCTGGGAGATTCATCACAAACAGGAAAACACCATGACACACAGTCCTCAGACTGACCAAAAGGCCCTCCTATGAGCTGTAAGGCAAAAGAAGCAGGTAATCTACAAAGGAAAAATCCACCTGAATAATGGCAGACTTCTCAACTAAAATCTTACAAGCCAGAAGAGACTAGGGACCCATTATTATTCATCTCAAAAGTGATAATACCCAGCCTAAAATCTTGTACCCTGCAAAACTGTTTTGTATATGAAGGAGAAATAAAGACCTTCTCAGATAACCAAAGACTGAGAAAATTCACTTAGACAAGACCTGCCCTCCAGGAAGCACTTAAAACAGTGATACACAAGGATCAGCACAATAAACACCCATAAGTGTAAAATCACCCAGAAGCAAAGGTCAAAGGCTAGATACCACAATGGCTCAAGAGAGAAAACAAAGCAACAAAGTTCAACTCAACAGGATGAACAGAAATCTGTCCCACTTATCAATTCTCTCAATAAATGTGAATGACTTGAACTGTCCACTAAAGAGACATAGCATGGTTGAATGGATAAATATACACAAGTGAAGTATCTGTTATCTTCAGGAAACACATCTAATGCACAAGAATGCATTCATACTGAAGGTGAAGGGATAGAAAACTATATTTCAAGCAAATGAAACCCAAAAGAAAGCTGACAAGGCAATTCTAATTTCAGATAACTTAGTCTTCAAATCAACAAATTAATGAAAGACAAAGATGGTCACTACATAATGGTAAAGGGTACAGTTCAAAAAGAAGACATAACAATTCTAAATATTTATGTACCCAACTCAGGTGCACCCAGATTCATAAAGAAAATCCTACTTGATCTAAACAAAATGATAAACAGCACCACCATAATAGCCAGAGACTTCAATACCTCTCTGACATAACAGGACAGATCCTCCAAACAGAAAATTAACAAAGAAACAATGGACTTAAACAGAACTCTAGAACAAATGGGCCTGACTAACATTTACAGAACATCCTACCTCCAAACTACTGAATATATATATTTCTCATCAGCTCATGGGACATTCTCTAAGATTGACCATATCCTAGGCCACAAAACATGTCTCAAAAAATATAAATAAATAGAAATTATACCATGCATTTTCCCAGACCACAATGGAATAAAATTAGAAATCAACTCCTACAGAAACTTTCATCTCTACACATAGTCATGGAAACTAAACAACCTTCTGCTGAATGATTATTTCATTAAGGAGGAAATCAATATGGAAATCAAAAGATTCTTTGAACTAAATGACAAAGGAGAAACAAGTTATCAAAATCTGTGGGACACAGCTAAAGTAGTCCTGAGAGGAAAATTTATATCCATAAATGCCTACATCCAAAAGACAGAAAGATCACAAATAACCGATCTAATAAATCATCTCAAAGAACTGGAAAAGGATGAGCAAACTATCTCCAAATATTCTCCAAGGAAAATATTTAACTAAGAAGGTACAAGACCTCTAGAGTGAGAACTATGAAACACTGAGGAAGGAAATAGCAGAGGTCGTAAACAGGTGGAAAACCATTCCATGCTCAGGGATTGGCAGAATCAACAGAAAAAAAGCAGAAGAAAAGAAATAACAAAAAATCAGAGTAGAACTAAATGAAATTGAGAACAAAAAACTATATGGAAGATTAATAAAATAAAAGGTGTTTTGAAAAAATAAAATAGATATGCCTCTAGTTAGATTAATGAGAAGCAGAAAAGAAAGAACTCTAATAAGCTCTATCAGGAATAAAAAAGGAGAAATTACAACTGATGCCATGGAAATACAAAATATCATCTATAAATACTATAAAAACCTCTGTGCATATAAACTGGAAATTGTGGAGGAAATGGAAAAATTCTCAGAAACACACGGTCTCCTTGGGCTCAATCAGCAAGAAATAGAATTCCTGAACAGACTGATTTCAAGTACCAACATTGGAACAATAAAAAATCTTCCTAAAAAGAAGAGTCCTGGATGAGATGGCTTCACACCCAAATTTTACCAGACTGACAAAGAATAACTGGTGCCTATCCTACAGAAATTATTCCACAACATCAAGAAGGAAGGAATCCTTCCTGAAAAATTTAATGAGGCCAATATCACACTGATACCAAAACCAGGAAAGGACACACAAAAAAAGAAAACTACAGACCAATATCCCTTATGAATACAGGTGCAAAAATTCTCAACAAAAACCTAGCAAACCGAATTCAGGTGCTTTTCAAAAAAATAATCCATTACGGCCAAGTGGGCTTCATCCCAGAGATGCAGGGATGGTTCAACATATGCAAATCTATAAATCTAATTCACCATATAAATAGAAATAAAAACAAAGACCATATGATCCCCTCAATAGATGCAGAAAAAGCATTTGACAGAATTCAACACCCTTTAATAAGAATGCTTAAGAAAATAGGCATAGACAGGACTTCTCTAAAAATGATACAAGCCAATATGACAAACCCACAGCCATCATACTGAATGGGGAAAAATTGAAAGCGTTCCCACTTACTACTGGAACCAGAAAAGGTTGCCCTCTATCACCACTTCTAGTCAACATAGTGCTAGAAGTCCTAGTCAGAGCAATCAGACAAGAGAAGGAAATCAAGGACATCCATACATGGACTGGAGAGGTCAAACTATCTGTCTTTGCTGATGATAAAATCTTATGTGTAGAAAATCCCAAAGATTCTGCCATGAGACTACTGGAATTGATAAACAAATTCAGTAAAGTCTCAGGTTACAAAATAAATGTACAGAAATCATTAGCATTCCCATATGCCAACAACAGTCAAACTGAGAACCAAATCAAAGACTCAATACCCTTCACAATAGCAACAAAGAAAACAAAGTGCCTAGGAATATATTTAACTAAGGAAGTACAAGACCTCTACAGTGAGAACTATGAAATACTGAGGAAGGAAATAGCAGAGGTTGTAAACAGGTCGAAAACCATTCCATGCTCAGGGATTGGCAGAATCAACATTGTTAAAATGTCTATATTACCCGAAGTGACCTACAGATTCAGTACAATCCCTATTAAAACACCAACATCATTTTTCACAGATATAGAAAAAATAATTCTATGCTTCATACAGAAACAGAGAAGACCCTGTATAGCAAAAGTGATCTTAAGCAAAAAGAATAAATTGGAAGGCATCAATTTACCAGACTTCAAGCTATACTACAAGGCTATAGTAACTACAGCATGGTATTGGCATAAGAACAGAGACATAGACCAATGGAACAGAAGTGAGAACCCAGATATAAAACCATCCTCATATAGCCATCTAATCTTTGACAAAGCAGACAAAAACATACACTGGGGAAAAGAATCCTTATTCAATAAATGGTGCTGGAAAAACTGGATAGCCACATGTAGACAATTGAAGTAGGATTCACACCTTTCACAAATTTCAACTCATGGTGGATGACAGACTTAACCCTAAGGCATGAAACTATAAGAATGCTAGAGGAAAATGTTGGAAAAATTCTTATAGACATTGGCCTAGGCAAAGAATTCATGAAGAAGACCCCAAAGGCAATCACACCAACAACAAAAATAAATAAATGGGACCTGATCAAATTAAAAAGTTTCTACACAGCCAAGGAAACTATCACAAGAGCAAACAGACAACCTACAGAATGGGAGAAAATACTCCCATGTTACACCTCCAATAAAGGGCTGATAGCTAGAATCTATATAGAACTCAGGAAAATCAGCAAGAAAAAATTCAAACAACCCTACCAAAAAGCAGGCAAAGGATATGAACAGAAACTTTTCAAAAGAAGATAGACTAATGGCTAACAAACATATGAAAAAATGCTCAACATCTCTAATCATCAGGGAAATGCAAATTAAAACCACAATGAGACATCACTTATCTTCCGTGAGAATGGTTTCTGTAAAAAATTCCCAATATAATAAATGTTGGCGTGAATGCGGAGAGATAGGAACACTCATACACTGCTTGTGGGACTGCAAACTAGTACAACCTCTCTGGAAAGCAATATGGAGATACCTCAAAGAGATATAAGTAGAACTACCATTTGATCCAGCAATCTTATTACTGGGCCTCTACCGAAAGGAACAAAAGACAATCTATAAAAAAGACATCTGCACTCGAATGTTTATAGCAGCATAATTCACAATTGCAAATTTGTGGAAACAATCCAAGTGCCCATCAATACACAAGTGGGTTAATAAACTGTGGTATATGTATACCATAGAGTTCTATTCAGCCACAAAAAGCAATGGTAATATAGCACCTCTCGTATTACCCTGGGTAGAGCTGGAGCCTATTCTATTAAGTCAAGTATCCCAAGAATGGAAAAATAAGCATTACATGTACTCACCATCAAATTGGTATTAACTAACCAACACTTAAGTGCACGTATAGTAGTAACATTCATCAGGTGTCAGGCAGATGGGTGGGGGGAGTTGGGGATGGGTATATTCACATCTAATGGGTGTGGTGCGCACTGTCTGGGGGATGGACATGCTTGAAGCTCTGACTCGCCTGGGGCAAGGGCAATATGCATTACCTAAACATTTGTACCCCCATAATATGCTGAAATGAAAAAGAAAAAAAAGAAGTGGGAAAGAATTTCAGTTTAAAGTTGGTGGTTTGGCGTTAGTGGATAAATATAGTTTTACTCTGGTGTATAAAAAGTAAAAATTGATGATTTTACTTACAGACTTTATTTATAACTTACATTGGTTAGTAACAGTAGGAAGTCTTTATGTTACACACACACACACATCATACCTTCCTAGTAGATAGCTGAGTGTTTCTTCCATCACCTTGCCAATTCCCAGTTTATCCACCTCAGTCATTGAAAAGTATTTGATACCCAGTGTTTTTATAATGTAGCTATGAAAGAAAACATATTAAGATAATCTATAATTAATAATGCTGACTCTATGCTTACCTGTTTTCTTTTAAAGAAAAGATCAATGTAAAATATATAAAATATTTAGGTTCTGTGAGTATATATGTATATCACAATGTAGTTTTATTTGTATTTATTTTTAACAGCAAGCCGATTAAGATATAAATTGCCTGAATGAATACACATGTTTGCACCTGCATATAAATATATATGTGTGTGCTCCCATACATGTGTGGGGAGTAGTGTATTGACTTGCAGTTTGAAATAATTTTCTGTTGTAGGTTTGGTCAGTAAAGCACACTTGGCACACAAAAGAACAAATATGAAGGTAAATCACATCAAGGAATAAACTTACTGTTCCCCAGGGTCCACGTCTCTCAATCCAATATACACAATATCCTTGGCGGATATGCAGGGAGTCACCCAGGAGAATCCTGGCACGTCAGGGATCTGAAATTGCAATTTTCCATTTGGTCACACGTACTTCTCTTGTGCCAATCCTACATTTAGTTAAGGACACTGTTGGATTGCTTATATCTTATATTTAGAATATACAGTTAGAGGAAATCACTTAGAGTAATACCAAATGAAGAAGGGGGTGCTTTGCCTCCTCTTTATTGCTTTGGCCTTACCAGCCTCCCCTGTAGCCCAGACCTACCCTGAACCACTGGCATTTTCCTGCTCTGTGCCCTGTTTCTGCTGGGCTCTTCTTTCCCAGGACTCTTCTATAAAGAAATGCGTGCACTGCTTTGGTAGCTTCCTGCTTTACCTTCCTTTCTCAGGAAGGCCTTAGTGCAGAGGATGGCGTGGAGCAGCCGAGGGAAACTTTTGAGCAGATCTTTGGTTGATCCTCAAACCGTAATGTAATGATACCTGCTTTGTCCTGGAGCCAAAATTAGTTGTTCCCATGTGCTAGCTAGACATTTTGCAAGGTTATAAACCGGTCACTTGGTCATTAATTCAAAAGATGTTACTTCTGAGCATTTAACATAAGGAGGTTTGAACTCCTTGTATCATGATAAGGACCAACATACTACAACTGTATCAATGAAAATTATTTTTATTGATATACTATGGCATGTCAATAAGAAGTATGAACCACAATGTTAAATCTTAATCTGAAAATTTATATCTTTTAGTAAAGAATTTTTTATGGAGCAAGGAAATAGCTCTTTCTCTTACGGTTTAGGTAGGTGCTTGTCTCAGTAAAGAGGTTAAATAACAAACCATTGTAACCTACATTTTAAAACTCCATTTTTGAAAAGGCTCTATGATGTAAAGGAACATTTTGTAAGACCATCAGGCCATGTGGCATGTAGTGGAAAGAGGCAGGGGTTAGGAGACCTGGTACTGGCCCTTGCCTTACTAGAGGCTTGGCATATGATCTTGGGCAAGTCCATTAACCTCTAAACCTCTGCTAACTTGTTTATAAAGGTTTACTCTCTGCCCCATCTACTAAAAATGGTAGTTTAAGAATATATATATATATATATATATATATATATATATATATACATGAATTCAGTTAGCAATCTTTCAAGAGAAGTAAACAGAGAGAGCATTACTGCCTTTATCAACCAACCCTTTGCTCACTAGCAGCAGAGAAAATGGTTTGCAATTACACCGAGGATATGATGACACAAAGGTTCTTACTTCCCTTCCACCTCCTGAACGTCTACTAAAGAGTATTCTTTTGTGATAGAATCCCAACCAGCCTTTTACCTTTCCTTTTAGTTCCTTCAGGAGGAAAGACACAGGCTGTCCGTGCAAGTTTCCACTTGTGGTTGTCAGTGGAGTGTTGATGTCAGTGTGAGCATCCACCCAAATGACTCCAAGATCAGGGTGGACCCTGGCATGGCCAGCGATGCTTCCGGTTGCCAAACTTTGGAGGAAAAAATTTCATGTAAATTTCCGGTTTGCAATGTCATTACATATATGTTGTTATTAACTCAGTGCTGCCACTTGGTGTTCCTTTAAGTTAAAGTGCTGATATTTCTAATAAGTTCTAAATTAGAGAGGACAATTAAACAATTGTAATAGTAGAGAAATAGCTTATACTTAATATTCACTAACTAGTTATCTTCACATTGAGAGCATTACTAAAAATTGGTGATTATTTTTTCAAAATCCATCTTGTAAAAATTACAAATTATAGCTTACCCCCAAATTAAAGGCATGTAAAAACTCTAATCACATAAGAAATCCCTTAGCAGGAGACACTGTTCAATTCTCAGAGTTAAATCTGGATTATTTTCTGCACACTCAGCTCTCTTGGTAAATATTTAATTTTCCCAAGTGAATTATGACAAAGTCCTTCCATTTTTCTAGAAATCCAGTGCTTTTATAATTGAAGAGCATCACTCAGAAGTACTATGTCCCCTTTGTCAGCATGTCGAATGCTCTTGCTCACTCTGTTGCATACTAAGATCCTATAGTCTAACTTTCTACTCTCCTACAGGCATTTAGTGAGCCCAGGAACCCTCAAGGTTCATCCCAAGTCCTCTAGCTCCAGCCATTTTGTCCGAATGGAAGAGCTAAGTAATATTTTGCTCAAAAGTTAAAAGACTAGGATTTTTTTTTTTTTTTGAGACAGAGTCTCACTCTGTTGCCCAAGTTGGAGTGCTGTGGCATCAGCCTAGCTCACAGCAACCTCTAATTCCTGGGCTCAAGCAATCCTTCTGCCTCAGCCTCCCAAGTAGCTAGGACTACAGGCATGCACCACCATGCCCGGCTAATTTTTCTATATATTTTTAGTTGGCCAATTAATTTCTTTCTGTTTTTAGTAGAGATGGGGTCTCACTCTTCCTCAGGCTGGTTTCGAACTCCTGACCTTGAGCAATCCTCCAACCTTGGCCTCCCAGAGTGCTAGGATTACAGGCATGAGCCACCATGCCCAGCCGAAAGACTAGGATTTACGATAGAAAGCCCATATCTCCCACTTGTGAATGTTCAAGTACCATTCAGAGAATTATGAACTTTCAGATTCTCAAAGTGGAAGCAACACGCCTGATGTGTGGGTATTGCCCATTAAACTTGCTCTTTGTTTTCCCTTGGTTTCTTGTCTTTGCCATTTGCCACTCTTAAAATTTCCGCTTACAAATTTTTCCACATGAAAAAGAAAGTGAGCCCTGATTTCTCAACGGCAGTTTTGTTACAGAAGCTGTGGTAACAGTTGGCTTTGGAAGAGGGAACCGAGGGTTCCTGAAGTGATGGACTGTCACACCAGAGCCACAGGAGTGATTCTCCATTTTGATCTCATCGGGCCTCTCCTGGCAACATTATCCTGGGACTGGAGACCAGATGGTCTTTCCCACAGTGTTTGTAATGGTGAAAACTTCAATATAACCTAAATATCTGACAATATGGACATGTAGAATGATGTCATCCCTTCGTGAAAAATCCTTCAGCAGCAAAAAACAATCGTGCTTACAATGCTCGTGTGCACACCAGGAAGTAACATAAGGAAACTCATACTATAGATTAAGAATAAAAGATAACATATCACACACACACAATTGTTAAGTGCAGTCATCGTGTACAAGGAAAAGATGCCATGAAAAAAATGTACCAGGCTGTCAATTCCAGTTGAAATGGTTGTTAGAGAAGTAAAATTACCACCGATTTTTTTTCCTTGTGTGTGTGTGCACTATTCAAAATTTAATAATTTAATTATTATTATTAGAATGGAAAACACCTACTTGCTAATTGTTGACCTGAGTCATATGTATTATCAGTAATTAAGTACAATAAGCTATGGATTTCCTCAGTGCTTATTTATGTAGAAATGTAAGCTGGTGCTCATTATTTTGATGAAATCCATTTATATTTATGTATTTTCTGCTGCACTGAATAAAAATAAAAATATTGTAAGACATCAAATAAAGCTGAGTCTATGTTTCCATAATAAAGTGGTGACCTATAACATCTTTTTTAAAAGGCAGAAAATCTGGAATAAAATATTTTGATCAGTGCTTTCCCATCTATATTTTCTCTCTTCTTACAGTCCTGGTTATATTCCTTTGCCATTTGTGCCAGACCCCCAGAGACAGTCATTCGACAGGACCTGTGGTCTCCGCCCAGCACCAGACTGACTCTTCCGTTCCTTTTGACTTCTGCCACCGTGCTGGCTAGCTGCTCGGTCGCTTTCCCCACAGTCCTTGGATTCTTCACAATTCCAAAGGGGCTGTCATTAGGGATGTCATTGAAAGTCAGGTCCCCATAATCTTTCACATCGCACTCTAAAATTAAAAGTTTCATGTTACTAAGTAAAAAAGAAGATTGCAAACCAGTCTGTATAGGGTGATATCAAATGAACAATATCAATGTATATTTCCAAAAGTACAAGCAAAGAAAATGCCTGGAAGGACTGTAAATATTGTGTAGGTAGAATCCACATCTGCTTTTGCCTGCCATCCTCACCTCGCCAGTACCACACACTGACACCTGCTATATACCAGCTGTTAGTGAATACTTCTTGAATCGGTGACAGTGATAACCTTCTGATTTGGGCTTAATGGGGGACATCACTGTGTTTGTCTCTGTTTCTCTGCTTATGTGCTTTCTACCTTTCTATAATAAGCATGTTTTGTTTGGTAATAAATAGTTCAAATATATATTAATATACATGCTGAAAATATAGAAAGCACTGGTTTATTTTGTTCTGGAGAATACACGCACACATACGTGACTTTGTATTAACAGTGTTTGGATTTAATCCAACCTGTCACCTGCTGAAGCATCTCAGCTTCCTGCTCTGCCTATTGCACCTGCCTCATGGTGGTGTTGTCAGAATTAAATAAGAGTATGTGTCAGCAGTCTATTCCTTTATGTTGTAGAGTAGATCTCATTGTATGAATGCACCACTCTTTGTTTAACCATTCACCATTAGATGGGCATTTCGTCATTTCCATTTTTTGCTTATCATAAGCATTTCCGCCACAACCCTACAAGTACACATCTTTGTGTGCACAGATCTTTTCACTTCTCATAGGTAAACACCTAGGAATAGATCTGATGGGTCAAAAGGTAAAGGTATGTTTACATTAGGAAACTGCCAAAGTGTTTTCCAAAGTGGTTGCATCATTTTGCATTCCCACCAGAAATATATGAGTGTTCCTTTTGCTCCACATCCTTGCCAACACTTTAACAGGGTTTTATATGTAAATATAGCATAAAATTAAGCCTATACTTTTAAAATACATATATAAGTTTGCATTTGCAGGCTTACGTATATATGTGTGTGTGCACATATATGCACACAATGCAAACACTAGGGGCTCTTGTTATTATTATTATTTTGTTCCCTTTCACCAATAGGGGTCCCCTTGCCTTCTGCTTTCAGTTCCCCCGATTTTCCCGGCATCCACCCCAACCCAGTTCTGGCACCCACAGAATGTCTCACACCATAGTTTGGCTGGAAAGACAAACTCTCTGAGGGAGGATGTCCGTCCAATGCCCACTGAGCGTTCTCCTCGTGCCCTGCTTCTTTTGTGGGATGTGACTTTTGGGTCACATCGGGTGTTGCTATTCTGGAATAAATGTCATTCCACACACCCCATTTTCACAGGCGCCTCCTCCTTCCTTCAGAGTGGGGAGGAAATCAGGCTGATGATCGTTCAACTTAAAATTTACCTTGTTCTTTAAGTTTCTCAAGCAGACCAGCCTTTCTCAATGCTCTAGGGCCTTCTTCCACCCCTCCTCGCGGCTGAACAATTGAAAAATAAATTACTTCAGACATTATCATGACCATGAGATGCTCACAGTAGGATCCCTTTTCATTATTTCATCTGTTGAATTGTAACTGTCATGGTTTGAGCTCCTACAGAGCCAGGAACTTACATTATCTTATTTTATCTTCACAGCAAAGTAGACTGAGTTACTCCTATGCATATAGCAGGAGCTACAATCACAGAGCCTACATTCATGCTCAGGTCTTTGAATTCCAAAACCTGCATCCACCCTTCCCATCACACTATGTCACCAACTTAGTGAATATATATTTTGTGCAAAAGCATGCCGACAGATGGAAACAATAATGAAAGAGAGAAGGCTTCTGACTTTGAGTTCCTTGTGAGCTAATAGGAGATTTGGGCATTTAACCCCAATTACAGTAGGCAGATAGTTGTTTCCATGCAGATATAAGATGTCATAGTAACAAAAACAAGATGTCCCCAACTCTGTTGGGCACAGGGCATGCCAGTGAAGGCTGCATGGAGCAGAGGACATTTCAGCTGAGTCTTGCAGCACGAGTAGGTTATCAGGAAAACAGGATGGAGGGAGGGAGAAACTCTGCAAACCAGGGAACAGCTTGGGCAAAAGCATCAGAGGAGAAAGAGCGGGGCATGAGACAGACCTAAGTGCAGGTGCCCACCGTGAGCTAGAGCTTCCTGGGGAGGAAGCAGGTCAAGGAGAAAATCATCACCTGAGAGCTGAAACCACAAACACCAACCCAGTGATTTCAAGTTTTGACCTTTTTAAACAGTGGAAGAGAAACTCTACCCTTGCTGTTTTGACATTAGTGACACCAGCAGTCTTTTACCTTGGGGCAAGTCTTCCTCAGCCCCCTGGCCAACGAGAGGCCTAAAGACAGTTCCTTTCTGTATCTTTCTTGCTCTAATGTCCAACAGGGCTTTTTACCTACGGTGAGCTACTCCTTGTTGTGAGATGAGAATGTGTGCCAAAGGACGCCTGTGTCTGGCCCTAGGATTGGGGCTGTGACACCAAACTAAGCAGATATTTCCTCCCCAGAAGACTTGCCCTGGGTGCCAGGTAAATCCTTGATTACTGTCCCCGAAGCAAGGGACCCCACAAGCTCTGCCTGACACATTCTGCTTTTCCACTCCACACCTTCTTCCCTTCACACGCTTCCCTCTCTCCAGGCAAATGGACATAATTTCTCCTTCTTTAAACCCCAGTGGGGGGCTGCTTGGTTCACATTCTGCCTTTACTGCTGTGTGTGTTTTGTCTCTTCCCCATCATTAGGTTGTAGTCCAACTCTTTTTACACGGGGGCACTATGTTTTATATCACAGAGCTGACATCTAACAGATGCTAAAAAAATTCTCAGGTAGATAAAACCCCTGACCTTCTTCCCCCATCCCTTTAGATGAGAACCCTTATAGACCTGTTAGTTCACACTGTATTTGCTATAAAACACTCATTAAATTTCCCAGAGTGACATTTTCTACCATTATTATTCTGTTTGATTCAAACTGCTTCTTGTGACTGGTCTCCACCCATTGCTGGTTTTACCTGTGCACTTCGGAAATTGCTCTGTCAGCCCCACTGACTGTCCAAGCTGGGCCCAATTCCTAACTGGCCACAAATGTAAGATCTGCTCTGGAGTGGAGGTCTCTCAAGAGGCGTCAGTTCAAGTCTGGGCACAGGCTTGCAATCAGTCTGTCCTGTCTGGAATCACGCAGCTAGGGCTGTGTGACTTTAAGCAAATTGGCAAACCTCTCTGAGCCTTAGTTACCTCAACTCTGAGGTAAAAATAATACCTACCTCGTTGTTTGCTCACTGCCTTGCAAAGGGGGTGAGGCAGGAAATGGAGCCCTTAACACATACTCAACCTTTTTAGTCATCTGCCCTTTAATCCTGTCCTTTTGTCTGCTTGCCAAACTTTTACCTCCTTCAGGTGGGGACAAATGCTTACATGGTGGCCTTTTTATCCTCTCTACTCTATGGCTTAGTGTAGAAAAATTTCTCTCAGTCCTTACAGTCATGAGATAGTAAGCTTTATTCTCATGGCCATGTTTTAATGGGAGAAGGACTGGGTGTGGTGGTGATTACTTCCTTTTTGTCAGTTTTTAAAATCTGCCTTTGTTATAACTTGTTCCAAGAAAGGTGAGCATATTGTGGATTTTACAAGAAACATTTCTGTGTCAGCACAATGTCCCCGTGTTCTGGGAAAGACCTTTGAAGGATTTCCAGGGGAAGAGAAATAGTATTTACTGACAGTCCAAATGCAGTTTGGGTCTCTAACCTCTGGCCCCTCTCAATTTGTTTTGCAATAAAAAGCCAGAGTGCACAGCAAGAGTTCAAAATTAAGAGGGTTAAAATGCTGTCCAGATTCTGATAAACCTGAAGAAAAACTCTATATATTTTTTTAAATCAACCTTAAAATCAACTCACACATTGTCTTGTTTGGTTTTGTTCTTTGTTTTTTTTTTTCTTTCTGTTTCTTTTTTTGTTGTTGTTTTGTTTTTTCTTTAAGCACAGACCCATGTTGCAGTCCAAGGTGTTCTATCATTTCATTCCATTTACTGGAATGAGTGTGCCCAGGCAGAAAAAAAAAGACCGTATCTTTAAATGTTGCTGGCATGTGCGGATTCACAGCTGGTGACTCTAAGGCAATCTTGGAGTTACATAGATCCATTAGTCTAGTCCTTTTAGAGTTGCCAACTTGCAGGTAGGGTTTTTCTTTCTTTCTGTTTTGTTTTGTTTTTTTCTCCCTCAAAGAAAGGTACATAAAGGATTCTACCTGGTCCATGAACTAACAATTTTATTAAACAATCATTAAAGCCATAAAAAATACGAACTGTTCACAAAGTTGAATAAAGTAATAATATTTAGGGTATCCAAATTACAGGAAGTCAGAAGGTTACCACTTATCTATCAAATTTTTGTAGACATTAATTACATAACTAAACAAATGTGTTTTCTTAAGATTGTCTCTCGCTGTACGTACACACAGTAACATCAAAAGCAACAAGAGCAACAAAACCTAAATGAGTATCTACAATGCAGAAATAGTCCATTTCAATTCAAAGAAAAATATTTTCTCTTAAAAAAACCCAAGGTGACATTCAGCGGGTTCAAATGAAATTGGCTTTGGCTGAACTCAGGAGCCACAAGAGTAAGTGGGTTTGTGTTTATAATTATACAGTGTTGAAAAATGGTGAGAGAACTTTGAAATATGGATTTTCAGGCCGGATTGTATCAGGAAACTTAGCTAACCAGATAATAACAATTTACAAATTTTAAAGTCCAAAATTTTCTAATAAATTCCAGGTATCCAAAGCCAGGCTTTTTACTCACCTGACCCTTTGAGAAGGGAGCTCCGATAACCCCTATGGATCTGGTCTTGGAACTCATGCTCTGACACGTCTCTTTGCTGCACCTCGGCTCTCTAGGCAGCCACCACCCTCTGCAACCATCAACGACGGGAGGGCACATCTTTCTCCTTCCATTTATAATTGGGTTGAATCTGTTTACCTTTATTCTAATGAGGTCGACTGGCTCCACCCACTAAACCAAAGAATGACAGAGTCAACAGAAAGTCTTGCCAATTCTTCATACGTGGAATGACCATGATTCCTCTGAGTCTAGGTCTTTGATGAAGTGAGCATTATTCATGTTTGTGGTTCACACCCTTTTTAAAAAGCCAGGCAGATAACATTAATCTTTCAACAACCAACAATTACCTGTGGTTTCACAACCTCATTCAAAAGTACTATGGGTCTAGCTGTGCAATCTCAGGGCAGGGCTGTTACCTGTGGGCCTCCACAGCCTCCTGTGGGCCTTGGAGACCTCCTTGTAGAATAAGGACAGAGACTGGCAAGCTAGTGTCCCTTCCAGCACTCTTCCAGCACTAGCATCCTGAGTTAAGATTTCACACACAGGATAAATGGTTAATCCATAAGATACATTTCATACACCACTAAGGTACACTGTCAGGGAAAGCATGTTACTTCCTTTTTTGAATATTACTTAAAAAAAATTAGTTGAGGCTGGTCCGATGGTAGTGGGTTATCAGAACTTATTCACATTAGTGTCACTAAAGTTGGTATTCAACCCCCCACTGCTAAATTTGACTGGCTTTAAAAAAAAAAAAAAAAAGAAAAAAGAAAAAAAAAATTAGTTGATTGATATGCCAAAGGTATTAGCATTTTTCAATATGATGTGCAGGAAAATAATTATTGCAATCATAATATCATAATCAAGGTATAGAAATAAAAATAATTCACATTGAGTTCTTATCAGGCGCCAGGTGTTCTGTTTTATATGACCTTATTTATTTTTATATATTTATTTAAATATTTATTTAATATTATTTAGTATTAAATTTATTTAATATTTATTTAAATATTTATGCTAATTTTATGCTAAATCTCATCATCAGTGCTATTGTACTAATGAAGAAACTGAAGTTCAGAGAGGTTGCCAAAGTTCACGCACTGGTTGTAGAGGAAGAGCCAAGATTTAGTCCTAGGCATTCTGGATCCACCTAACCACTGGGCTTATAGGCTAAGCACTGGGAAGTGTCAGCTATTAACTAACTTGTGCCCCAGGATGCTATTTGTCATTGTGCAAAAGTATGAACTTAGAAGGAATGCACCTTAAAAATTCTTCCAACTTTAAAATTTTATGATTGTAATTCAAAAAGAAAATTCACTGAGTAGAAACTAATTTCTTTTTCCTACTGGGGAGAAAGAACATTGTGGAGTTTACAGTCGATAAGGGAAGAGAATTTTGTATGCTGTACCCCCAGACCCTAGAACAGTGCTAATATATGGTAAGTCCTCAATAAATATTTATTGAATAAATGAATGAGGAAAGCAAAGTCTCATGGGTCCATTTCGATAAAAACATTTCCCAGATAAGCTTTTTATCTTTTACTTGTGGGTGTGCTTGTACATCCTAAATATTTACTTGTGGTTTTCCTAATGTAGCCTAGATATTAATCTCTTAGGGTATCGATATTGTAAGTAACTTTTCCCAATCTGTCAGAAATCTGATACCTTAATTTATAAACAGTCACACATAATTTTCTCCTAATGCTTTGCAAGTTTTATTTGTAAATCCTGCTTACCCCCCAAAATCACAAATATGTACTTCCATATTTTCTTCTATTTATTTTAAAGTTTATCTTTCACATTTAGTTCTTTAATCCATCTACACCCAGCTCTGTATGTTGTATAAATTTTCCAACTGTGGTTTTCTCTTCATCATCCGTCAATCAGTCTCCTCAACAACAGCCTTTGAACAGTCTATCTGTTTTGCCATTGATTTGGGTGTTATCTATTGCTGAAGTCTTTCTTCTGTTCCATTGACTTATTTACCTATGGCTGCACCAGGTTCATAATGTCCTATTATTATGGCTTTATGGCATAACTTATCATTGTTTGGACAAGAGTTACCTTTTTGCTCTTCTTTTTCAAAATTGATTTATCATGTGTATGGGTCTCTATCCTATATATTTAGAATAATTTAATTCCTTTAAAAATCCTTCTAGAATTTTTACTAAATTTATAGATTAATCCATAGAAATTTGCTAAGTTTCAATTTTCATTGCCAGATGTTTTCTTTGAATAATTCTAACATCCTGAAAGTTTTTACTAAGCTGAGATTGCCTTCTTGTCATTTGATCCGCTTGTGACAATCCTTTGATTCAAGTAAAACACACTATCTCTTGGCTTTCATGGTCTTCTTGGGTCTCTATACTTTGGGCCCAAATACCAAATACCTCCCTGGGTTCTCTTATTACACGATTACTACTCTCCTTCAGGTCACTCCCTCCCTGGCTTGCCTATGCCCTCCCTAAGTGGGGCATCTAGAACAAATACCATACATCCAACTGTAGGTGGAGTCATCTGACCCAATAAACACAAATTTGGTAATGCCTGACTTTTCCAGGTCACTGATAAAAATGGTGGACAGGACCTTAATTTTGTAAATGCTCTGTGACATTCCACTAGAAACCCCAACTCAGATTGGCAGAGCTCCAATAATTGGTTGTCAATCTACAGGTAAGGCTGTTCACTAATTTCCAACTCAGCCACTCCATCTTGCCCATCAGGACATCATAAGCTAATTTATCAAATGTCTCAATGAAGTCTCACTACACTTTACTACCTTATGTCATCTCCCAGTCTGTCTTCTCTATCAAAGCCAATAAGCCAACCCTGACAAGTCCTACTCTTGGGGAACTCATGCTGACTTCTAGTGATCACTGCTTCCTTTTTTGTTATAAACACAAACCTTCTTTGCAGTCTCCAAAGCTGTTATCTCAAGACTTCTAAAGGAAGAAGATAGGATGTATTTTACCTACATTACCCTATTCAAAGATCTACTTTTTTCTGCTCAGTGCTTTCATTTATCTTAGAGTATATATCGGGGTTTTAAAAGCCCTTCCCCTAACAATACAGCCTCTATACAAACCTCTTTTTAAAAAGTATTATCTGGCATTTTCCTGGGGATGAGACCACATCATATTTGATTCTTTTTTTGATTTTTTTTTTTTTTTGAGACAGTCTCACTCTGTTGCCTGTGCTAGAGTGCCATGGTGTCAGCCTAGCCCACAGCAACCTCAGACTCCTGGGCTCAAGTGATCTGCCCAAATAGCTGGGACTACAGGCATCATGCCTGGCTAATTTTTTTCTATTTTTAGTAGAGATGGGGTCTTGCTCTTGGTCAGGCTGGTCTCCAACTCCTGAAGCAATCCTCCTGCCTCAGCCTCCCAGAGTGCTAGGATTACAGGTGTGAGCCACTGTGCCTGGCCAATATGTGATGGATCCAAAGTCACTGGAATGAAATTTGGCACATTAAAACCCTTGTTTTATTTTCCTATGGTTGTTGTGGCAAAGTACTTACATCACAAACTGGGTGGCGTAATACAGCAGATAGTATCTCACAGTTTGGAGGCCAGCAGTATGAAATCAAGATATTGGAAGAGCCATATTTTCTTTAAAAACTGTAAAGGAATCCTCCGTTGCTGCTTTTTCAGTCCTGGAAGTTTTCTGGCAGTCTTTGGCATTTCTTGGCTTGTAGATTGATTGCTCTAATCCTCCATCTTCACACGGTGTTCTTCCTGTGTCTCTCTCTGTATTTTCACCTGGCTGTCTTTGTATAAGGACATCAATCATTTTGATTAAGGGCCCACCCTACTCTAGTATGGCATCATCTTAACTAATTATATCTGCAATTGACCCTATTTCCAAATAGAGCTACATTCTGAGGTACTGAAGGTTAGGACTTCAATGTATCTTTTTGAGTGGGATATAATTTAACCCCTAAAAGCTCCCAATTAATATTTTTGAAAACATAAAGAGAAGATGAATTAAAAAGTTGCATAATGAGAAGGACTAAAAAAATGACATACCTCTTACCCTCTTGTTTCTCTTTCTGAGACTCCAAACTGTGACCCATTTCTTTATTGTCTTTTTATGAGGCAGCTGATAACAAGAAGTCTTTTCAGATGAAGTCCAGGATTCTTAGCACTTTTAAAGAAGACTGGATTGTACATAAAATCTAAAGGACTAAATCTTGAATGGGGTGATTTCGAGGAACAGTTTGTTTGCAGCATCGCCTAGACTCCTTAAACCCAATAGAGCAAGGATGCACCTGCTCCTGGAACTAATGATTTTATGGATGATAAAATAATGATTTTAAATGTTATGATAAAATGTTAATGATAATGATTTTAAATGTTCAAACTGGATGATCTCTGGGTAAGTTACCTAGTCATGGCTCTGAGTGGGAGCTCTCTTAACACTTTGAGGCATACCAGTAGCCTAAGCAGAGTGAGCAGCCACAAAAAGAAGGTTCACTCTTAGTGTCTGGCTTATTTCACCTCAAATTATATTTTTGTAGACTCCTTCTCTTTCTTTCCCATCTTTTTTTTCTTTATCCACTCAGACTTGAAGCAGTACTCTTGGGAGTGTGGGGGCCATAGGAAACAAAATATTGAACAGCAATGTCGCCGATCACTCTGTGAGCTTAGGGAACTCAAGATAGCACTGCTCTAGAGCCAGGTGGCAGGGGATTACCCAAAGAGGGAGCTCCATGCACTTCGGTGCCCTGAGGTCTCCAGAGAAATCACCCAATGTCCAACAGGACCCTGAACTTCAGCTTTGGTATCAGGGGAAGATAGTTAAGTTTTGTTTGGGAGGCTTCAGGTATAGACACCCACAAAGAGAGTCTAAAAATACAGAAGAAGAAAGAAGGTGTACTTCACAGGGAATTAAAGTCAGTAGGTTCAAATGTATAATAATTTAAGAGATGGAGGTGTTTTTGTAAAATAAAATATTTTGGCTCCTGCTCTGGGAACTATCTTACCTCAGCTTCCGTTGAAGCATTTCTGAAGCAAAATGGATTTTTCTAGTATTCTAAAATATTTTTCTCTTTGACTTTGACATTCTATACCATTGGTGGGATTTAGACTGGTGTGGGATTCTACATATCCTTCTTGGATTTGCTAGGTTTCTTGAATCTGTAGATTGGTATTGTGTATCAATTTCTTTAAA